TTCTTATTCCTTTTTATTCCTTTCTAATCACCTTCTTATTCCTTCTTATTCCTTTCTATTGACCTTCTTATTCCTTCTTATTCCGTTCTATTGACATTCTTATTCCTTCTTATTCCTTTCTATTCACCTTCTTATTCCTTCTTATTCCTTGCTATTCACATTCTTATTCCTTCTTATTCCTTTCTATTGACCTTCTTATTCCTTCTTATTCCTTCTTATTGGCCTTCTCATGCCTTCTTATTCCTTTCTATTTCCCTGCTTGTCGGGATAAGCCCGCAAGAAACATGTCGCTGTAACGCTTTTTTTCTGCCGTGGTAACATTGCACCTTGTCATGGTAACAAAATCGCGTTTTTGTCGTGGTTACAACCCCCTCTCACTCCCCAAGTGGAATACAAAGCAAGAACTGCCCAGTTGAACCGCCAGCATATGCTTGTCACCTAGTTCGTATGTGTCCAGACAAAGGCTTCAACATGAAACATATGCTATTAACATGATTGGAGGTGTCCTAAATATCCTTGATCTTTCAGGACCCTGAAGAGAAGGTCTTTGAACAAAGTCTTCATTTGAGACCAAGAAGAAACACTCGAAGGACCCGGGTTGTTCACTGTGTTTCTTCGGGCAAAGGCATAAAGTGGAGATGCCGAACGGCAGGACATGCTCCGCTTGGGCGAGGATGTGCTCGAGAAGCGGAACTCCCTGCATGCGCCTCGGCCAGCCGATTGGACGTCAGTCGATTGGAGGGGAAGAAGTGAGGCAACCAATTGTTGGTGTCCCAGATGGTGGTAATCAGTGCGTGTTCAATTTGTTTTGGCGAATTCAATGCATGAGTTCAATCCATTCAATCAGTTTCTTCCCGCATGTTTTGTCAATGTTTGTCAACTTTTAGTATGCTGTTATTGTCCATGTCTGCCAACTGATTTTCCTGGCATCCTTGTTCCCCCCCTAAAACAAGTCTGTGCAAGGATCCAAACAAACAACAGGGCAGCTAATGAGCTGATAGACACCAGCCATTCTCCTGTTGGTCTGTAAAGGGTGGCTTCCTTGGTTGCCTCCTGCTCTTGTTGCATGTGTCTGTGTGTGTGTGTGTGTTCTGAAGGGTACCCTTTTGGGTGGTCACAAAGGGAAGCCAAAAGATCCAAACAGACCGCCCATTTCACAGCGGGTACCCGTATCTTGACACCAACATACCTGCACCCTCAAACCCATCAATAGAAACTCACCCCAGTATTGGGGGGGGGGGCAGTTTGGTGCCATTAGCGCATTGTCCCATGAGCATGGCTGTATATCCTATGAAGCCCCTAGCTTGCTAGTGCTCAGTCGAGAATCAGCTAGTGTTTTGGAACTGAACTTAGCTATCCCTTATAAAGGACACTTGACTGCTACTGGATTGGATCTTTAGACTACCAAGTACAGGCGTCATTCCCTTCCCTTCCGACTTCCGAGAACGCTGGCGGAGGCATCCCCAGTCAGTTCGACTCGCCGGCCGCAGGAGTGCCTCTTCACGGAGGAGTGTTGCTTCGTGTACCGCGACTTCCAGGACCCAACGATCGGGGGAAAACCTTTCAGCAGCCTAAGAGTGGGCGTGTCTTAAAATGGGGGGACCTACCAAGTCCCTGGCTTCTCCTTGGGTTGCTTTTTGAACCAATGTGTGTGTATCATGTCTGAAAATGGGGGGGGCCTGCAAAAGTCGTGTCTTGATCTTGGTTTCCCTTTAAACCAACACCCAAAGTTGTACCGAGCCTCAAAAACGACACACCCATGTGGGGATTTCTATTAGTGGGGCCCTTTAAAAGGTTGATGGTTTTCTTTGCCTTCGCTTGAAATACCAACTAAAAGATGTTTCAGCAAAAGCGTGTTTGAGATCTGGAAGTGTTGGGGTCCTTGAGCTTTTGCAGACGGAGGCGGGAGGCAGAACTCCATCGACGTTCCTGTTCGCTGGGGATGTTCTCTACTCATGGCTCGTCAAAAAGGGGGGATTTGGACCGCCAAAATGCTGGTTGTCCTTTTGGATTTCCCGTGAAACCCTGTTTTTGGATGGGCCCCGCCATAGGGCTACAATCAAAGCTCGGGTAAGGGAAGGTTGGGAATGGACCGGCCCAAACAGAACAAATAGGCGCGGATATCCGCTCTTATGATTATTGACTTGCTTTTGCGTATGCGGATCAATTCAATAGTGAGTTTTAATTGACTCAGTAGGAAATTAGCAGAGGTTTCGGGAATCAATCTGGGGAGCCCCTCAAAGGAGCTACTAGGGCAGGTTCATCGGCCGCCTCAAAAGGCTTCCCTACGAAACTGGCAAACACATGTTAAAGATAGTCCAAGCAAGATGGAGTCTAGGAAACCTCCTAAAAGACCGCATTCCTTAATCGCACACCCTCCAGGTTGCACGTTGGTTTTGGGGGGGTATTCCAGCTCTCAAAAAAAACAGAAAATGGCTAGTTGTGTCTCATTGCACTTTAAGCACGGTCGAATGGTCCAATAACAGGGCGCAGTTGTTGGGGGAAGCACCACGAAGGCTGAGAGATCTTCTATCCGAAGGAATCCTTAAGTTTGTCAATTGACGTGTCATGGTTACGGCAAATCGTGGGTTTAAGAGAGATACTTCCCCAAAACTGATCCTGGTTTTGCATTGGTGTCCCTTTAAAGCATCCTGACACATGGCTCCCAAGGCGGATATTCCCAAAAGAACAGGGGGATGGCTTCATCGCCGCGCAGATTTCTTTGCGACCATTCCCCAGGCCCCAAGGTTTGTTCCACTTGCGAGAGGGGGGGTTCACGCCTCACCCCAGGAGCAGTTGAGAATCATCTACGAGGGCTACACGCTGTGACCTAAGGCATGAGAGCATCGCTGAATGGCCGGACAGAAGTCCGGTAAATGTGATGTTTGAGATGTTCTGAGAAAAAATGAGGATCGATCCGCGATGGGATGTTTGAGACGTTCTGAGAAAAATGAGGATCCCCCCATTTCTAAATCAGGATCCCCCCATTTTTATCCGTTTCCACAATAGGGAAACTTCACAAGACCAGCGCAACCAATCCATCCTGAGGAAAGGGTGGCGATGCGCCAGGCTTCGCGCCGTGGGCTTCCATGGCCTGCGAAGCGTTTTGTGGGTGCTACGCGATCCCATCGTTTTGCATATTCGCTTTCACATAGGGAAACATATTATGTGTATAGACATAATAATATATATATATATATATATTCATCATACATCTTTATCCTCTACAAATCCAAGATGTGTTGGATTTCCTACAACCCAAAGCGTGAGTGTTGCTGCCAAGACAGGGCAGAGCTGGGGGCACTTTGTAAGGTCCAAGACAAGATGGGAGATTGAAGATGATCCAATCCGTCTTGCTGAACATTTGCTTTTCAGGAAAGCTTCCCACTCGTACCCGTGGAGGTTTCCTCTTGGAGCTACCCCGGGTACTTGATTTTGCCGCAACAAGTTGGAATCCCATCCCCCCAAATCCCCCCCCAGCCCATCCCCCACCCCCCACCCCCCACCCAACCCCCCCCCACCCCACCCCCCCACCAACCCCACCCCCACACCCCACCAACCCCACCCCCCACACCCCACACCCCACACCCCACCCCACCCCCCCACCAACCCCACACCCCCCACTTCCCACCCCCCACCCCCCACCCCCCATCCCCCCCCACCCTCCATCCCCCCCACCCCCCACCCCCCACCCCGACAACCGATCCACCACAAGCCACAAGGGGCAGTTGCCGCAGTTGCAAACTCCGATCTCAGGTCGGTGAGCTCCTACCCCGGCCGCCGCGGGCGTATCATCTCCTTCGGCCCATTCACCCGGAGCCGGGAGGAGTCGAGACTTTGGCACCCCGACGGTTGGGTGTTTGTGTTGGCACCCGGCGAAAAGTCGGCAAATGTTTGGCACCCCTGAATTGGTGGTTTGGATTGGTGGTTTGGGGATTTGAACGCCCGTTCTTTGTGGAGGAAAGCTGGTTTCACGCTCGGATGCTTATGGGTTTCCTCTTCAGTTGTTGTCTTTGGTCTGCATTCGGTGTCTTAGTGTCCTTCTTGAATTTGATCGCACTTTTGGAAAATGTTTGACTTTTGTCTGCCCTTTTGCCTTTCGACCGCTTTGTTTGGGCTGAGAGACAATGGCCATCCGAAGCAAAACGTTAACAACACCCTTTTGAAGGTCGTTGTTACTTCCAAAACTAAGAACACATGTCAACAGGCGAAAAAATGCGAACCCCCTTCAAGACACCGCCGAGCCTGGTACTCCTCCAAGTGGATCCCCTTGTAGTTGGGACACCCAAGCTGGGTTTTCATGGAATGTGGGTGGAGTTTTTATTTGTATTTTTTTAATAATACTTTTTTTAACGGGGACCCGCACCATGAGTGGGTTTTCCTTGTTGGGTTTCTTTTTGAAACCACAAAGCCGGGTAAGCCTCAAAAAATGCGAGGCACCAATTTCTGCAGGTTTGAGTGCGCCAACTGAGGTGGTTGGCTGACCTTCTGTGGCCAGGCCATGCCTGAGGACGCCTTCCTTCCGCTTGCCGCTTCGTCCCAGATCAGGGGTGGTTCCTTTCAACTTGTGCGGGGGGAAACGCCAAGTAAAAACCAAGCACCTTTGACAAAAAGGAGCCAATTCGATGTTCTTTTCCATTGTTCACTGGGGTGCTGGGTGCACAAAGACACGAAGGAACAAGCAAACGAAGCAAGCAAGCAAGCACGCACAAACAAAGTACAGCCAAACGTGCAGATGTTGCATTTCTTCTGATCTTGGTCGGCCACGAGAATGTTTGCCGATCAGACGGAAGGGCAGATATTGCAGATAAAACCCAAAACAGCCAGAAGGCCGCAGCCAAATTACATTCTTATCCCCGGGGTTCAAACCACCAAATTACATTCTTATCCCCACCATTCTTATCCCAGGGGTTTCATATAACCACCATTGTTTTCCTAAAGATTGTCATATGGGTCAACCTGTCTTTCAATGGGGGTTGAACCCCAGGGTTATGACATAATGCAAAGAACGAAAAGCAAGAAATCAACTTTGGAGCCTTGGAGGGTTTGATTCAACTTTGCAGGGATCACTTTGGGAGCATGAGGATCTGTCCAAATCTACAACTGCCAGGGGAATCATGTTCCCCTTCCACAGAAATGAGCAGCATCATATTTATAATATTGACTGTGGACCCATGGGCGTGTCAGAATCGGACCCCCCAAACAAACATATTGGATGACGTCAAAGTTGCTGGCATCAAACGGCGACCCGTCGCTTTCAGGGCCGAGAGTTCAAGAAACGGCCTTCGTTTTGGGGGGAAATCGTTCGGAAAAAAAAACATGTCCCATGGTTGTCCATCTCTGAATAGCAAGTATTGATCACGGTTCGCCGAACTCGAAGCACACAGTTGCATGCGGCAATATGCTTGGCCCATGCGGCAGATGCGGCTTTTGAGCTATGCTGAAGAGACAAACACATAAACAGAAAACAAGCAAAGCAAACCTCAACTGGAAACCCTTAAGGAAACCAAGAAAGCAGCAGCCTTCCGGCACGTGGGACTTGGCAACCCGGGATGAAATGGAAGTGGAACTCCCAGTCCCCTCTTACAACACTTCACTTCGTTCAAACTTGGAACAGGGGTTCAACAAAAATTCACCTCTCCTTGCAGGTGTGCGTTGATTCAGGGCTCATAGCGCTATTTTTCATGGTATCCCCTTGTGGCAAGTTGAGAATTGAACGAGCGAACCTCACCGAGTTAAGATTATCGCGACGACGTGGACTGGACTCCCATGAGCCAACCAAGCTTCAGACCAAATTTCTGATTTGGCTGGGAGAGACTCAAGCAGAACCGATCCGCTAGTGCTTCCGATCCGCGCAGGAGCCCTCGACCCGGCTCTTCCGCGAGGCCGGGTGGCATGGGTCTGTAACCCAATTCGGTTCTTGGGAAAGCAAAGCCCTGTGTGGTTGGCACTGTTTGGGTTTAGAACCCCACAGCCCTGTGATTGGAGTTCTTTGAAGGTCACATGCAAGCACACTGATGGGAGTTCCTCAAAACCCATCCATTTGTGGTGCGGGTATTTCAAAGGAAACCCAAAAACACCCAAAGGAAACCTTTTCTTTTTTTTTCCGGGGGGGGGGGGTTGGAGTCTTACGTTCAACGAAAGGCCTTGGCCCGGGATGAGCGCCGAGGCCTTCGCTTTGGGCAGGGAGGTCCGGGCAGATGAGACCTCCCACTACAGGCGCCGCTCCGCGCCTCCGCGCACCCCAGGGCGGGCGAGGGTGGGGGGAGGCAAACCCAATCCCTAGCCTTCGCAAATAGGTATCCCTGCGATCCATGTTCCTTACAGGGTGATAGGGTGGTTCGATTGGTTACATATATATATATATATATATATCATACCATACAGCTGTAGTAACACCATACACGCCTGGAGTCAATGAATTAGAATGGCTATTGTTTACCATAGTTGTTCCATCCACATGTAGTGTGTGTTGCAGGTGAGGTGTTCAAGCGTTTCGCCACTAGGTGTACCCAGGCAATGTTGTTGAACTGCTGGAACCCCTATACTTATGCACTGACCCAGGTCCAAGGAATCACGTCAAACCAACAAACACCCCAGCCACTTGGAGTCAGACCCGGACGGGGGCAAGGCACATGGAGCTGTCGTGGCCGGAGTTCTTGGTTTCCCTGGGCGCCTTGGTGCGCCTGAGTCCGGACTTCGACACCGAGCCCGGCGCCCGGAGCGACCGGAGCGACCGGAAGGGAGGTGTGTGGAGTGCGGCGCACCGTGAAGCAGGGGGGCTTTAAAGGAAAGCAGCTGGGGGCCAGGTGACAAAACTCACCCAAATCACAGCAGATCCTCTTGGGGCCTGATGGTCCCTTCCAAAAACGCCGCGCTCTTAGTTGCACTGAGCGAGTCTACAAAGCAAAAACGGATTTGGAGGATTCCCTAAAGCACGTGACGCATCCAAGGAATCCGAAGCCGCATTCGGGACATAGTACAAAGCACTCAAATAGCAACTCGTTTTGGCCCGCAGGGGAGACAGTGTGGGATTTATCTTGAACATTGTTCCATTTCCTGAATTTTGTTGCAATGCGAGTTTGTTTAGAGGAATAGCCTTGTGTGAGCATGTTGGTTTTCAATGGCACTAACAAACGGAGGCTGTGCAGGCCCGAATTTGAGCTGAGACATCCCACACGGGAGCCGGACAGAGGGCCTTTGCGTGAAGGACAACTGGTTTACACCGGGGTGAAAGTAGATGGCGCAATGCCCTTCTGAGCGTAAGTAAAGGGGCGACTAAACTAACATGGGGGGAATTGTGCCATCTATGCTCACTCAGCAGCAAACCAGAGGATGGAGCTCCCGGGATTCTTGTTTGGTACCTTCCAAGGCATGCACTGTGGTGTGATCGGCATTTCCAACTGTAGTAGCTGCTAAGCAGTTTCCAAACATGGTCTGTGTTCTGGCGCCTTTTTTCTGGCAGATTAACAAAATGCCCTTTTTTGGTGATGATATACAGGAAGCAATAAACAACAACAAAACATAAACCTCAACATGACCCTCACATTGGTGCTACAAAGAGTTGCACACAAAAAGCAAAATGAGCTGATCGCTGTAACTGTTTGATTGGCAGCCATTTGCTCGTTTGCTGATTCATTGCTTTTTGGCAGACTGGCCGCTCCCTGCTGATTTGCTCGCAGCCCTCTACTTCCCTGCTGATCAACATGGGCAAAGAGAAGCCCCACAAAGCGGATTCCTCTTGTGCTTGCACGTTCGCGAACCTGCCCGATTGAACATGGAGGTGCCCATTGGAACAGGGAGCCAGGATTACAACATCGTACATATTACTCATGGGGAGTTATCGCAGCCCAGTGACTATTCGTGTTCAAAAGGCCATCACCCTCCCATCGCTCGCCTTGCTTCGGCTCCAAAATGGCGATGAATTTGGATAGGGACCCCTGAAAAGTGGGTGGTGGACATGAATCCCCACCAATGCTGTTCACCAAGGTTCGAAACAGTACGGAAGATTGAACTTCACCGTTATGTCCTTTGCCTACGATTTATTGAGTTCTATCATTTGACAGGTTCTGTTCTTTTTTCAGTCGGGGCCTGCAACAAACGTGTTTTTTGGGCTACTCCCAAGGTGTCATGCTTCAGCTTCCCTCTAGTTGGCGGATTGGTGGTGGATTTGAATCCCTGGCTGAGGGTATAGATGGGAAACCCCTCAACCACCAACCACCCCCAAAACCACCCAACCCAACCGCCCAACCACCCAACCACCAATCAGAGGGAAGCTGAATGCTTTGGAGGTTCTTTGCGGAGCAGCTGGGCAGCTTCTTTGTGGCTCTGTCGCCTTTGAGCGATAGCCTGCTGGCAGGGAATCCGGCCACGGCAGGCGCGCGATGGCGCGCGTCTTTTCGTTGGTTTTCGCCCGGTGGGTGGTTGGGTGGTTGGGTGGTTTTGGGGGTGGTGGGTGGTTGAGTGGGGTGTATCAAGAGTTTGGGATGCCTTGACCAAACATATGAAGACATGGGGGACACCCATGAAGTATATATTTCAGCCAACCCCAAAAAAGGTTTCCCGAGCCTCAAAAACCACAGGCCCATCGCTAAAAGATGCGCGCTGTAAAGCCGTAGCAAACTCCCCGAGGGAAAGGGTCCCTGAGAGGTTGAAGCACCGATCTTTCCAACGGAAGCAGAGGGATGCTGCAGCGGCGGTTCGCGATTCGGTCCGCCCGCGCGGCGAGTCTTGGGCAAGCGATGCTCGGACTCAAGGAGTTTGTTGCGGGTGTCCCGTGAGCTTGATCTTGTTCTGGTAGTTGGGGGTTCCTTAAGGTTTCAGTTGATATTGATCTACAGTCGCTCCAAAAAAAACCTTGAAACGGAAGGTAAGCGTCTTTGCCTGCACTAAGCATAGTATGGGTTTTGGGGTCGACAGAACTACGGCTCCCACATTGAAACAAGTTGCCTGGATGACTGGTTTGTGCGACGAAAGAAGGATAATTGAGAGGTCAGAAACCAAAGAGGGGGCTGCGTCCATGTACCAGCCAAGAAGGCTGGGAAAAGCAATACCCCAAAAGGAAGGTGCTAGCAAACATACCCCCTACTCCAAATACCCTCTTTGTTCAGAGTATCATGTCGACCCTCCACTAAAAACAGAGGTATTTATCATGGAAAACCAGGTTTTCCCAAACATACCCTGAACAAGCGGGTATTTTGAGTAGGGGGTAGACCTGTTCAGCGTCCAACTTGCAGGGTGCCCCGTTTGGACGAAGTGGCAGGCCGAAAGGTCGGGAACCACAAGGACCAGGCGCGATCAAATCTGCACAGAGATAGGAACTAATCGGATTTGTTGAAAGAGCAGGGTCCTCGAACATGCGAAACACCACGCGCGAAACAAGACATGGACATTAACAAACAAAAAAATTGCATGACGTTTGGAATGTCAACATCAGAGTTGATTGCAATCCACATGAACTTCTGTTTCCTAGCTTGAAACATATCCGGTCGTCTGCTGGGACTATGGACCTGTCCCAAACTGGGGGAGCCTCCTTTTTGGCAACTCGGCCGAACAGTTTCGCGCCGCTGCTTGCTGGCTTCTAGCTGGTGCCTGCCAATGGCTTGTGCCATTTGCTTTTGCCCCATGAGTTGTTTGTTGTGAACCGGTTTTTTCCGGACAGGAGGAGAACCCCAAAACAGCCCACGCCTAGGGCTACTGTTCCGATATACTATTTAGAGTTGCAGAACAGGTTGGAATGCAAGAGTTTTTTACTGCAGCGCGCCCAACCCATGCTTCCCAGCCGTTCCCACCTTGAGAATCTGTTGCCTTTGCCCTCTGTGCCCTTGGTATGAAAGTCAGGTCCCTTCGCATCGCCAGACTTGGCTTTGCGGACTTTTGCTGGGACCTTTTGGCTCCACAAATTGCATAAGGTGATGGACCTCGTCAATGAAACCTAAGGCTCACTTGCCCAAAGCCGACCTTTTGACCTTTTGGTTTCTCATGTTTGGTCCATTTTTAGTAAAGGTCCCAAAAGGTTAACCTTTTATTTCTGGGTCCTTTGGGCAACTGAGATAAGGTAATCGACATTTGCTCTTTGGGGCCTTGGAGCGGCCGCCAGTCTGGCGTACGTTGGATCTCACGCGGTGGGATGGCCGTAGATTTCTGGATCCGTATCCATGGGGTTTCAAGAATGGTGTTAGATTCAGGGTCATAGATTCATGGATTTATGGGGATAGTTTTGTTTTGGGGAATTTGGATGACCTTTATTGAAATGTGAGGGTTCCTGACAGCCATGGCCACGCTCCACATGAGAAGTTGGGAGCCACTTTTGCTCTTCACCCCCTCCTTGTGTGTCCTTGCCCTGTGCCAGAAGATGCTTGTCTTGGGTGCAATTTCTGCAACGCTCAACCCAGCCTTCAGGCATTACTGACTCTGATCGGCCAGATCTTTGAGGACTCTGGGATTCGGAAACAGCAAAGACTTGGATGTCCAACGCTGGCTTCAGAGTCAGAGCAACGCCATCATGGTCCATGATTTCTGGAGATAGCACCGGTGATATGGGTGACATGGGTGAGTTGCAACCATCTATGTTCAGTCCGCCGCGCATTTGGCGCTGACAGGCAAAAGGAAGTGCACCAGCCGCTGTTGTTACTTAGTGAAATGGGTGGTTTCCTTCAAGCCTCCCTTACCAGCCCCCACAAACGGGGGGTACCCTCATCTGTCAGCCCAAGAGGTTTCCTCGCAGGAAGCCGATGATGATGAGACAGGCACCATCGATGAGAAGGAGTCCTGCTGGCGCCATTTTTATCAAATGTTCTTCCTCAAACCACTTGATACAACTTCTTCCTAAAACTTATTCCTCAAAGGTTTATCCAAAATCCGTTTGCTGGGTGGTTTTCCCTTTGAAACCACTTGGTTTTCCCTTAAACCCAACAAACGTGGTGCCCCTCAAAGCACACTGAACTAGGAGCTCCGAAACGTATGTGAGTTTGTCTTAAGGTATCCCACAGTGGCTTCGGTGTTCCCGTTTGGTTTCCCTTTAAACCAAACCTAAACAGAGTACCCTCAAAAACACTGACCCATGTGTTGGTCAAAATATTCTACTTGAAGTGGAGCCCAGTTGAAAAGGTAACCATCCATGTTACATTTATTGTTTTTTTGAGAGTTGGTTCCTTTGGCAGGGGAAAGGGAATCACTTGGTGGGGCAAGTAGTGATGATATTGGATTCACAAATCCACAGGATCGAACATTGCGAGGAACTATTCCGAACATAGCGCACTGTTTAAACAGTATGGAGTTGCAAACATGGCACAATTCCTGTTACTTGTGTCCGTTTTGTCTTGGCACCTTGTCTAGGATTTAAAGGTACCATCGCAGAGGTGTTGCTCGAAAAGCGCAAAAGCAAGGGTTGTCTGAGTCTATTCCCAGTGACGCGGAGGTTTTAGAACCTACACATACGAGTCTCCAAGACCCGTCAAAGGAGATCATGTCTTGCAACTCCCAAATGATCGTCGTGTTTCCTTGTTACCTGGCGTCTCCTCCGAAACTATGTCCATCTTAGGTAGACTAAATATGAAACATCATCTGAACAAAAGTTGTTGTTGTTTTGTTTTTCTGTAAAGCATAATATATATCCTATTCATAGGTATAGACGGTATAGACTAAATATGAAACACAATCTGAACAAGCGTTTTCTGTAAAACCAAGTTGCTATTTCTTAGGTAACACCAATTTATCCACATAACTTGGAAACATAATATGGTAACTTAGGTAGACTAGATGTGGCCCAAGTCACCATTTCTCACCCTCAATTTTGACGGATTGCCGGCCAGCTGCTGGCGCCAGGTTCCGGCACTTCTTCGTGCAAACAAAGGCGGGCAGGAGTCGGCCCAATATGCGTGTAACACGTGGGCCTGACAGAAACATGTGTGTGGGGGAAAATAAGGGACCCCTAAAATCAGGTAAGTGGTTTAGCTTTGGGTTCTAATCCAAAAAGGGTACATTTAAACACACCCACAATTCGCTGACCAGTGGTGCCGTCCTTCCTTTCTGTTTGGGAGAGTTTCTCCACAAAATGCAACCACGTTTTGCTATGGCTGCTGGATTCCTGAAAGTTGAATTCACGTTGCTAGCTAGTTGGCATTTGTTGGTGTGGTTTCCCTCGCTAGGACACCGTACGCAGCGGCCTTCTGACAGAGCCCCTCTGATTCCAAACTCACGCACGACGGAACTAGATAACTGTTGTCAAGATAACTGTTTTTTTCAGCCTCATCTTGACTTCCAGGACGATTTAGCATCCGAAGCTTCGTACGTGTTGCCCACCACTGAGATGAATCTGACATCGAGGGTTCTCCGTTTAAAGGACTCAATGTGTCGATTCGAGCCAGGCTCGGGCCAGCCCCTTGTTGGAGCATGTTTGAACCTAATTGCTTTTCAACAACCTCCTTTGGAACCTTGAAAGGGAGGAGGGGCTGGATATTTCAAGCAAGACTTGCCCAAGCTTGCTCTCGAGCCCTGCACTGGCCATAGGTTTGTCATTTGTTCTTCCCAACAAAACACCCAACAAGGGATGTGTAGGTTGTTAAGACGTTTTGCAGACCCCACGGCTTTCACACTTGCCGTGGTTGACGAAAAAAAGATGCGCGAGCACCACAAGCAGGTGCAGGAGAAGTTGATTGAGTTCGGCATCTCTGTGCTCGCAGCTGAGACAGTTGCGCCATCCATGTCCCTCCAGTGCGTTGCTCCCCTTTTCTCCCTCTTGCTCCCCTTCTTTCCAGTTGTCCCTTGACTTTGGAGAGGTTTCCCTTGAAAATAAGCCACCACTCAAGGGTGCCATTTTTTAGCCAAAGGATCACCGGACATCTGGGATGTTTTGGGCATATTGATTTCGGCGATGCAAGTTTGGTTTGCGAGCTCAGCCATGAAGGGTACTTCTGGGGGGTCGGTCGCTCATGAAGGATTTCTGCAGGTTGATGTCTGCCCCAAACGAATTTTGCCAAGCTGCCACGCCAAGGTCCAACTTGAACATGCTGTTCAAATCCCTGGATGTGGATGGCGAAGGCGGGCCCGGAATCGAAGCCATTTGCCTGCCTCAAGCTGCCCTAAAATTCATCATTTACATGTTGGGGCAGACTAGAAATGAAGCAGAAAACAAGAAACATGAATGGGTGTGGGAAAAGTTCAATGCTATGACGTGTTTGTTGTGAACCCCCTCAAAAGCTATAGGGAACATAAAGAACCAGTTTAATAATGTCCATCACAAATTTCCCCATTCAGATCCCTATTCCACATTGCCCTTGGATGTGATGATGTTTACTTTGTACAGGTAGTTTGTTGACACGGGGCTATTTTGCAACTAGCTCCCGTTAAGTTTCAGTCTGCGCAACAGACTTTAAGTGGCACTCGCGGGCGGCTCAGGAACCTCACTACCAAACTTCAGCGGCCAATTGGAAAAGAGTCACTCTATAGCTTTGGGATGCCGTCTTCTTGTACGCATGTCCTTTCACAATGCAAAGGGCAGATAGCCCGTTCAGGCGCCAAGCATCCGGCTCCAGCCACCAAAGCCAGCATGCACAGGATCCCATTTGCACATCGTACCCATGGAACCTTTCGCCCTTTCCAACCAATCCGCGTTCGCACGGGTTGATTGGGAATGGTTCACAATCTAGGTCCCCCAGTACTGCCCTTTTGCCCTTTTTTGGGGGAGGGTTCCCCTACTAAAATCGACTACATAAAAAAACGATACCCTTATTCTGACCTTTTCTACTGGAGGTTCTAGGTTCGCTTTGCCAATTCCATGGGGTTATTGAAGGCAGGGTGGGGTTGCGTAGGCGTGCTGACCTTCGACGAGCTGTGTGACGGTGCGGGGCCCGGATCAACCCCAACCCACAGGATCCAAGCGGATGCCACGATGGCCCGTAGATGCCCGGGGGAAACGTAGATGGCCATGGGTCAAATCCCCGTACCTCCGGTGAACCTATGGGTGGTGCACCTATCCCAACATGGGATCCCAGTGGTTTCGAACCATACCCAGATTAAACCTGACCCAGTGGATCCCGGTTCACAGTATAGCAAACCAGCCGGTTTGCCTTTTTTTTTTTCAATAGTGGTTGCTTTGGGTACCCAGTATATTGCTAAATGGAACCACAGGGTGAATGGGAGCTTGTGCCTATTTTCAGCCAACTGTATGGTTGGGGATGGAGTCACTTAGTACATCCTCACAGTACACAAAACACCCGTTAGAGAACCGTTGTGGACCCCTTTGCAGTTGTGTTTTTCAATGTCCAAGGGTCTGTCAATTTTCAAGGATCAAGCTGTTGGCTCCTGGTTGCCAAACCGAGTTGTTGGCTTTGTATGCATTTGTCATCAGACCAGACGGGGCAATTACTGACTCGAAGTTGTCGATATGACCGCAGGATTATAAACCTTTGTATTGGTCTTGCTACAGTACATGTGGGGGATGTTTGTGTTTTGGTGGACACCTTTGTTTTATTCGGATTGATACGGGCTTTGTGCGCGTGAGGATGTGCCAATGTGCCAAGTGGCCTCCTTTTGCCCTGTCTGGTGAGAAGAGTCCTTCGTCTTCGGTTCCATTCTTTGTTTTCCCATCCCCAACTCAAATCTTAATGTAGGGGAGGCGAGTCTACATTCCTTCAGGGCCTTTTTTGCAAGTTCCATGGTTTCTCTTGGCGGGCAAATGCTACACAATGCCTTGTAGTGAAGGATGGGGGAGTGTGCCCTCTCAGAATTCGACATCTTTCAAATCTGGCATGGCCTCCACTACCCCTAAACCACTAGGATTGAATTGGGAACACCGGGTATATGGGTCAAAATTAAACCACCAGGGGACCGCAGGTTTCAATCCATTTTCCATCTACCTGGATTCTATTTGGGGTACCTATTTTTGACCCACATCCATATTGTCCCATTTTACTGCTGTGGGTTTGGGGGTAGGGAGAAGGCACCTCTCTCGCCAGGGTTTCTGAAGATGGCGGCCATCATGAGGCGCGGCGTTGTTGGTTGTTTCTATCGCGATTAATTTAGAGAGTATTGGTAGGATATCAACGCAATATATCTATACATATATATATATGTGACTCTCTTCCATATACGTATATATTAATATATATATATATGTATATATTAATTTATATATATATATATATGGTACTCCCTCCCCCCCAATGTCGACCTTGTTCTGTCTTCATTTGTTCTGCCCACTACCTCTGACTCTGCAAAAGGAAACAGACGCTCCAACTGAACCATTTAAACCGATTGAATCCTCAGAGGAAAGGTCTGGGCCCAAAACTGTCTTAACCGTTCAAACCCTGTGAACCTTCTCTCAGAGGAAAGGTCTGGCCCCAACACCTTCTTGACCGTTTGAACCGTTTGAACCCTCTCTCAGGTAGAAGTCTGGGGGGGGGTCTTTCCTGTGAGAAAAGGGTTAAACGGTTTGAACGGTCTAAATGGTTTAAACGATTTTGGGGTGCTGACTTTTTTTTGGGTGGGGGCTTTCCTGTGAAAAAGGGTTCGAAAGGTTTAAGCGGTTTTGGGGCCTGACCCTTGGGTGTGGGCGGGGGGACTTTCCTTTGAGAAAGGATTTAGATGGAGTTGGGCCTTGGGAGGCGTGGGGGGGGGGGTCCTCTGAGAAAGCGTTTAAACGGTTTCAACGGTTCAAATGGTTTGGGCCCCTGACCCTTTCAAGGGGACCTTTCTTCTGAGAAAGGGTTTTAATGGTTTAAAGGGTTCAAACGGTTTGGGGGCCTCACGCTCTTTTTGCATTGTCTGGCCAAGCCTCAGCTTAGAAATAGGACAGAGGCACATCCAAGCCGACTGAAATTTCATTCGGGCCGGGATTCAAGATTCCCTGGGAAAAGGTTGGAGCCGGAAGCTTCCAGATTGTCTTTGGAAATGAGCTTTTTGTTTGGCTGCTTTCCCCAAAGCCCAAAAAGGGCAGAACACGCCGCAAATACCTGTAAACCAAGGAAAACCAATGACTCTTTTCAATTCGACTGTTACTGGTTGTTTCAATTTAGATTATTATTTTGAATTAATAAGGAAATCATCCTCTTTGATTTCTAGCTTAAAGATAGTCTAAATTGGTTTTCCTTTTCAATCAGTATTGGTAATCAAACGTCTAATTTGGTTGACAGTAGACTTAGAACCGTTTTCCACATTTGTTTGTTGATCAAGTATTAATATATAATTAATAAGGAAATCCTTCCAAAAGAGTAGTGTCGAGTTTTAACAATCATTTAGATACGCGTGTTCTAAAAGAAGGTTTTGAATTGGCCATAGTATTTCAATTTAGATTCTAAAGGGGGTCTCCCTCTTTCTCTTTTCTAGGATGTGTTTTCAATTTTATTTTCGACTTGAAGTGGAATTTGATAAGGACATACTCCTAGTAGGATTTCTAGTTTAAATGGAATCCAAACAGGTGTTCATATTCAAATAATGTTTGTAATTATGTGTCTTACTTGACATTAGATATTGACACGTTTTCTGCTTTTGTTGTTTGACTAGAACTTAAACATAAGTTCAGAAGGACATAGATCTAGTAGAGGTTCGATGTTAACGAACATGTAAATATGCCTTTAGTAGTTGGAACTCCTACTTCAACTTAGATTTTGAAGGGGGCCTCTTTCTCTAGGACTGAGTTGTTCAATGTTCTAGTTGAAATCCAAATGGAGCTTAACGGTGACACACCCTAATAGAATTTCAAGTGTTAAAACAGATGTAAACCCAGTTCCTTTGGGAAGAACATGTTCGCCCAGAACTCTACGTTGGCCCGCGCCCCCACCCCCCGCCGCAAAGCGCAGGCTGCCAGCTCGGCGTTGTTCTTCAGGGAAGACACATAACCCCCCCACCAAGAAACCCGAAACCCCCCAACCCTAAACTGTGTTGCTGGTCAACAAAGACAAGACACATGCCCCCCCCACCCAGAGCCCGAACCCCCCCAACCCTAAACTGTGTTGCTGGTCAACAAAGAGAAGACACATTGCCCCCCCACCGAGAAACCCGAAACCCCCCAACCCTAAACTGTGTTGATGGTCAACAAAGAGAAGACCCATTGCCCCCCCACCCAGAAACCCGAAACCCCCCAACCCTAAACTGTGTTGCTGGTCAACAAAGAGAAAACACATTGCCCCCCCACCCAGAAACCCGAAAGTGCGGCAACTGCTGATCTGTGAGTCTGTGGGCGAACGTGACGTTCTGCGGGAACATGTTAAGTGTGGTTCTCACTTTAAGATAGATTTGAAAGAGGACTTCCTGTACCAGGATGTTTTTCCAGTTTCTAGATATGATTTGAAATAGATGTTAATACAGCACCCTTTTTCTGCTGCTTTCCCCGAAGCACAACAAAAGGCAGAAAACGCCGGAAATACCATTGAAACCAACAAAATGGTAGACATTTGGGGGGGTAGCATAGTTGAAGATATATTAGCCGCTATGTGTGTGTGTGTGTACAATGTCTTCGGATTACTAGTCGAGTCTATCTCTTCACCACCAGACCGGGACCATAGCTTCAAATTAAACCTTAGATAAGGATACCATGAGTGGCAACGCAAACAAGTGTACCTGAGGCGTCAACACACTCCCGATCTATAGCTGGAGTGCCAGAAGTCTGCATTAGGGTTTGGTCCATTCGGGGTTGTTTCGTTTGGATCCGTGCAGGAGCAACGAGCGAGCCATATCCTACATCCGCAAGGCCTAGCGAGGGTTTGCTTCGACGTGAGCCCATGGATTGAACTTCCGGCAGTGCAAAGAGGAGTTGGGCAATGAGTGGGATAGAATGAGGCGCCTTCACACATGGCACATACTTGTCTTATGACCATGACTTAATAACGTACGAACTGGGATGGCTCATTTCACAGCCTTTGCCTTGCCAACCCACCCACCCAATCGAGTGCCTTGGAGGTCTTTGCAGAGGCAGATGCTGATGGATCTGGCACCTTGGACAAGGCACCGGAAATGTTATGGCGGGAAGCCGACTTGTTGGGAACTGGCATTCACCCGTATGTCAACATTTTTGGGAAGTGGCCCGCCTGTTGTTTTTGCTGCTTGCGGGAAGAGTTCCCGTGCACCCTTTTTGTGAGTCAACCAACAGAAAAACTGGCGCCCTTGTTTACTGCATGGAAATCCACTGGCTTCCAAGCTACCATAGGAGGCAACCAAGGGCAAACATCACATGAACTATTTGGTAGGGTGTTCTGCGGTGCTACTACCTGGTTTTCTGAATGTTACAGCAAGGCCTACTGCTGGTAGATCCAAAGTCAAAGGATGTCGGGCGCTGCTCACATGGAAGCTGTTTTTTGTTGTCTTAGCTGGGATCCATTGAGGTTGCCTCAAAGGGGAGTCCCACTGTGCTTTTGGGGCTGCGAGTGTGATTTGGTGCCTAAAAATGGTTGGGCTTTCTTTGGGTTCCCTCACAAACCCATGTGAGCAGGCTATCATCCACTAGCAAATCTAGACACACTAAGATTTCTCCCAAGGGAGAGGTAGATTCACATTCGAGTGGGTGTCTTTCGAGCTGAAAAGTTCGAGTTGGTGGCTTCCCTCTACTGACTTCAAAAGGAAGAAGAGAAACAGCAGCAGTTCAAGGGCGGACCAACTAGACCTTGTATCACGGTGCAGGTACACTCGGATGATCAGTCCGCGCTTCCCCCATGGTGTGGTTAGCTTCGTTGGCACAGGTCACCACCATGGGCCTGCCCCCCCTGCTTGCTTGTGAAAGGCGGCGGCGTCAGAGTTGAACTGACGCTCCGCACACCCACGTCAATCTTCAGATGCTATCAAACAAAAGCTTGCATTGCTGCCAAAATCCGTCTGCTTCAACAGGCGAGTACGCACGTAAGTCATGAAAGGCGACCTGAAACTCAACCCACGCCAATCCTCCATCCACCCAAAGCGTTCTATCAAATCTCGACATCAAGCCTGCCCTTGCTCTCATGATCGATCCCCAGCCAAAGTAAAGACAACCACATTTCCTGAGTACTGTTGCCCCTTTTTTGATGGAAACAAGCACACACACACACCAAATAATACTCTGCCACATGTCATGAAACTGCCTGGTGCGAGAGCCAAGAAAGGCCAAGCACCCTGGTGCGGTGATCAGTTGTTGCTCCTCAATAGCCCAATTCGTACCTTCCCCATTTGTTTCAAGGATCCTTCTTTCTAGAAAACCTCCAGAAACCCAGGGAACGCGGCCGGTTTTTTGGAAAGAACGATGGTTGAAAAGAATGGGGAATCAACCCCTAGAATTTGTGGAACATGTGCCCATGGGGAAGTCTCGAGTTGCCAAATTCCAAGAGACCCCCCAACCCGAAAAGCACAGACGCCAAAAGAGTTGCAACTGATGGTCCCGTGGCGACTTTTCAAGCAAGAGGCAGCTAGGGAACTGTAGTGAGTCCCACAGAATGTCAGATTCTTGCGTCAACGGGATCCTATGCAGATACCTCTATACTAGGTAGTCAGACATTGTCCGTTTGCGTTCTCAAAGGTTGGTTGATTTGGCTGCCTGCTATAGTGAACATAGTTGACTGGATTAATCAAATTTTGACAGATCTTTGCACATGCAGCTTCTCCGAGGGCAATGACCAAGGATAGACGATTGGTACATGAGCTTTCCTTTGCAGAGGGCTGTGAGCCTGTTGATGACAGGCCCCGTGATTTAGTGCCCTGTATAGCAGGTATCCCAGGGAGCCACGCGTTCAGCCTGTGATCATGGTGTAATTTGGTTAAACACGTACCTCATGACCGTGTTCCATTCAGAATCGCCCTTTAATTGAGCTCCAGGGCATGTTTTTCTTCCGGGTAGATTGAAGGTCCCCTACGAAAATCGGCGAGCAACGGCCGGAACCCACTCCCAGGGTTTGTTCTCAGTTTGAACGCGGGCGCAGGATGAGTTCAACAACATCTTCGTGGAGTGTGGCGCTCGGCTCTCGCCGATTTGCCGCTTTGGGTTTGCTTGGGTCAGGTGGTTTTGGATGTATCCTTCGATTGATCACGGTTGGCCCAATTTAGATGAGACTGACTATAGATAAACGCTAGTGTTTTCATGACCCCCCATGGTTTTCATGGTTGGAGCCACCGGAGTCTGATATGGGCTGCGCTTTATTCGTGTTTTTTGGTCTGTCGACATTCCACTAGCAAACTCGAAGAGGATTTGGACCCCAATTAAAACAAATGTCAACTTGCTATTTCCAGCAGCACCCCCAGAATGGGCACCCTCCAATGAATGACATGCCCATGTTACAAGATAGTGGACTCCGAACGCTATGCGCAGCCATGAAGTGTTCAGACCATTGTTGCTAGCTTTGGAAGGGTTCCCCTTGAAAACCAACTACCAAAAGGCTCTTAACTACTGCCATTTAAGTCCTGGGATTTCTGTAGGACGGGTCGGACCCTCATAGAAAGGTCCATGAGCGTTTGGATCCCAAAACGGAGCGCTGTTTTTGGCCAATAGAAATCCAGCAGGGGTGTGGGAGCCTTCCCAGCTTGCATGGTCGAGGAAGTCGAGGGTACCGGTTGGACGCGCCAGGGGCGGCACTTTTTTACTTTTTTTTTGGGGGGGAGTAGTTGCCAAGATGTTGTTTTCGCGGCGTTCGCGCATTATCGCTTCTCACTCAAAGGACTCTTTTAGCCATTTGTTGCTCGGACGTGCGCAAGGTTACCGGTGAGGATGTGCTGAGCGAGGATGAGTTCGCTGCATGGTGGAGCGAGAGTGAGCACCTGCAGGGCAGCGTCTTCATCGATGTGCTCAGGCGCCATTTGGCTAGGCAGCTGCAGGTGGTGAATTTCAGACAGCTTGCGCTGGTCTGCGGGGATGAGATGCTGGCCGCAGACAGCCACTGGGTGGATGCGGAGCTCGGGGTCGTGATTTGGTCTTACTTGACGGAACCAGATGATGAGATGTTTCTGGTGGAGGCAGCGCAAGATGGGGACCTTGTAGAAGTTGTGAACATCCTGGAAGCGCCCCTGGATCCGGATTCGGTCGTTGGAGGTGCAAGCATGGTGACACCGCTGATTGCTGCTGTTAAGAATGGCCATGAGGAAGTTGTGCGCGTCTTGCTGCAAGCTGGCGCGGACAAGCACTCGTCGGGTGGCATATCCATCACTCCCATGCATGTGGCTGCTGAGAATGGCCATCATGGAGTTGTACGTGTCTTGCTGCAAGCCGGCGCGGACAAGCACGCGGGCGACGTGATGCTAAGATCTCCCATGCATGTGGCTGCCGAGAATGGCCATCAGGAAGTTGTGCGTGTCTTGCTGCAAGCCAGCGCTGATGTGAGAGTGATTGACTGTGCCGCACAGACCCCTCTGCACGTTGCTGCCATGGAGGGCCATCAGGAAGTTGCGCGTTGCTTGCTGAAAGCTGGCGCTGGCGCTGCTAAGCACAATTTTGACAATGATGGAAGGACGCCTCTAGAATGTGCTGGGCTGACCAGCATGATTTTTTGAATTGGTGGCTACGGGAAGGTTGCTCGCTAGAAGCAGGCTTTCCATGACCACGCCTACGCTTCATCAAGTGCACACACAAGTGAACAACAAGCCTCATGAGGTTCGATTCTCCGACTCGGATTGTCTTTTTCCAGCTTTGCAGTTTTTGTTTTTACTTCATGTTCCCGTTGAAACCAGTAACCAGTTGACGTCTTGGGGGTCTAAGTCCAGGGCGCCACAAGCAAGTCGACGCTGGCGGTTTTTGGGGAGCCCCGTGTGGCGCGTGTGGCGCGCGAGCCAAGGCCATCGGTGAAGAAGAAGATGGATGGCTTCGGAATCCATGCAGCACTCTCAGCCAACAGATGCCTCCATTTGCTTAAGACTATTTTTGGTATTTTCCCTGGTTGGTTTTAAAAGGAACTCATCACTACTGGAAATATGTTTCCTGGGGCCTTAACCAAATGGAAGGATGCATTTCATGGTTAAGACAACCTCAAAAGTGGCCAGTGCATCCCAGCTGATGAAAACGCTCCTGGTTGATGAATGTTTTATGAAATCTCTAGTGGTGCTCGGTTTCAACCTTTCCGTTGGATGACCTAGCAACAGCAAGGCGGCCTTCGTTTCCCGTGCCTGCACGTCTGGGATGTAGAACCATCAACCATGGTATGACATGGGGATTAAAGGTTTCAGCAATTAAATGGCCTACTCCCAACCCTGGGGGGTAAAAGGCTTTTAAAACAAAGGCCGTTACATGAACATCCTTTGTTTAACTAGCCAGCACATTTCTGCATCATCAATGGAACAATCGTGGTCTTCCCGAAACATCCTTTCAGCAGGACCTTTTCAAACCCAGCAGCAAACAACGCCAGCCAGGACGAATGTGAGTGGTTTTTCGCCTGCCAAATTTCACGGCGTTTCACGGTCTTTCACTGCAAAAAAAGGGCGTTCACGCCATGAACAGCTTCAACATGTCTACATGGTTTTCGCGAGGCTTTGGAAAGCGTACGTTTCAGCCACAAGCACTGCAAAACGGTCAACCCAATTAAAAGCGTCCAGCTTGCAAACAAAGGACGTTCCCCACGTTTCACGGCCGCTTCCTAAAGGCCTTTCTTTTTAAGGCCCCCGAACCCCAGGGCCAATACAAGCCCTTTTCAATGGAGAGGGTCCTGGGTGTCTCAGTCAAGGCGACCCTACGACTTGCATGCCCCGCGCGGTTCCAAAAGTCCTTGCTATATTTCTTGTGCTCGGAGTGTAAGTACATGAGAAGAAAATTCCTTTGGATTCTTTGGAACAATTCCCCCTCCATTCTTTGCATGTTTCTTAGATGTTTGGTTTGTTTGGCCTTTTTCATGGCCGTTGGAGCCCCTGGTTTGGGAGGGCACCGTCACGTGCACTTCCGTGTGCGCGCGTGTTGCGATGCCAAGCAGATTGATGCAAGCGACAACTAGATGCATGTTCCCCATACATTTGGGGCACTGTTGTGACTGCTGACTATCACCCGTCCAGCTGGCTAACTTTGAACTTCTGGCAGGTGTCTTCATCGTTCTAGTCAAAGCCCAAGAGTTTAAACTTGTTCTGGCCAGTCAGCATGGTTTTGCCTGGACCCCCGATTAAATATATATATATATATTGGTTGCCTTATTTTGGTTCCTTTAAACAACTAACAGGAGGTTCCCAAAACAGGACACACTCACATGTGCCACATGCAAGTTTGTTTGTCCGGGTGGAGGCTGGAGCCTCCGCTCCTCCCGAATCAAATCGAGGCCACAGATCTGGAGGATTTGTTTTCGCTCATCGACCAGGACCAAGGGGGCGAACTGGGGAGGGGTGGCTATCACCTGTTAAGCCCTTATGCTTAGGCCTCATCCTAGGCTTATACAGAAATAAGGGGCTTTGGACCAGTCAGTGTAACTTCTGAAGGGTTCCCCAGTTGTTCAATTGGATTGGCAAGGTGAACCACAAATAACACATCCCAGATTTATATTATTCATACAAACACTGATTTTATGTCAAAACATGAACACGACTCTCAAAAAACCCATAGGGCTGTTTGTGGGCAGGGAATGATTCCCACTTCCCACCTCCAAACCACCTTTTCAGGGGTTGATTCTAAACGGATGGGAATGAATGAGTGAATTTATTTTAGCAATACTAGGGCACCGTTATCCCCTCCTTTTTGTGAACAATAGTTATTGGGAAAGATGAAGCTGCTTTCCTGGATCACAAATAGTTGCATTTCCACAGAACCCTTTGTTTAGGCAGCCCCCACTCCCCTCCAAGAAAAACAGGCAAGGAACCCAACCGCAAGCTTGATTAGTTCCAGACTTGTCAATCAGAAGCCGACCTCCAAGGCCCTGGATCAACCACCCTTACCAGTTGATGTAGAGGATCCATGTGAACCCTCCCTGTAGATGTCATGGGCTTTGGACACCCTGAGTGGCATTTATAACAGGTGGCCTGCTTCGTTCGCTGCAGGAGGTATGTTAAACGTCAACTGAATCTGCCAGATCTCATGCTGGTTCTCTTGCCAGTCATTCCCAACAAGCGTCCCGCTTCTTTTTCCAAACAACATATATAGGTATACACATAATATGCACATACATACGTACATACATACATACATATACATATACATATACATATACATATACATATACATACACATACACATACACATACACATACACATACACATACACATACACATACACATACACATACATACACACGCATACATACATACATACATACATACATACATACATACATACATACATACATACATACATACATACATACATACATACATACATACATACATACATACATACATACATACATACATACATACATACATACATACATACATACATACATACATACATACATACATACATACATACATACATACATACATACATACATACATACATACATACATACATACATACATACATACATACATACATACATACATACATACATACATACATACATACATACATACATACATACATACATACATACATACATACATACATACATACATACATACATACATACATACATACATACATACATACATACATACATACATACATACATACATACATACATACATACATACATACATACATACATACATACATACATACATACATACATACATACATATCATACATATCATACGAACCGTGGCTGGGTGTTTGGATTCGATTGAGGGCACACTTTGTTGGTTTGATCAAGGAGGGGCCTCAGGAAAAACCCGCCCAAGGGTTTTCCCATTTAGATGAGCTCAGCCACCATGTGCGAGGTGACCTCCAAATGAGCCGTCAGTTAGTGTGCATCGGAGCAAGATTTGGATTTCGTCTGAAAGGATCAATTCGCTGGAAGGTTCCACGTAAAACCGCCACTTTTGTAGGTACAGTGAATACCCTGAAAATTCATCCACGGTTTGTGGATTTTTGTGGTTGTTTTACTGGGCATCAAGTTGAAAATCGAACGGCCAAATTCCAAGCCTTCGAATCCTTGGGGTTTGCTTCTTTGGGGGACACCAGGAAATCGGACATTTGTGGGAACCCAAAGCCACAAGCGAAACGTTTGAGAGGCTTCCGACGCCTTCAATAATATGAAGTGAAGGGACGGGTGCCTGTAGCCAAATCTGTTGAATTCCATACGAAGCACCCTTCAGTGCCCTTCAGACAACCAGTTGAGGATAGGGCTCATTTTGTGCAACGCTTGGCTTTCACACGTATATGTCGATCAACTCCTTGGGAGGATTTGAGCTACTCCCATATCGGTGATACTCTCCCGCTTAAATTAACATGGAACCCACAAGGCCATGACGTTGAGGGACATCTCCTGTTGGGGAAAGGACCCCTGTTTTGGGTTCCTGTCAGCTAGCAGGGAAGTCTTACATTGGAGGGATGGATGTTGTCCTATTGCTAGATGCTAAGTTGCCCCTTTGTGTCCCATTTTTCTCTGAAGGACACTAGGGGATTCAGGAGTTGTGTTCCAGCCCCCCCTTTTGCAGACTGTGATCAACACCCTTTCTTCCCAGCTCGAACTCGATTATTGGCCTGGAGCGCGACATGCTGCTGACGCGCTCGAATCGCGAAGCGCAAGGATGGCAGCGGCCAAGTGTCCGAGGACGAGGTAATCGCCGGCTTCATTATGCTGCCACAAGCCCCAGATAAATCGGTCGAGATTGTTAGATAGGGAATCCACTTGTTTTTTGGGGTGATATCCGATGTTTTTCAGGGTAGTTTGAGGGTCCAGGACCCTCTGTTGGTTTCAAGGGACACCAAAAGAAACGGTTGTCATTTTGGGGAGTCCGATTCCTAGTTTGGGACAAACCCAGGTCTCCAAAATGAAATAATTGGCATATTTAGGCTAGGCTAAATATGGAGCAAATCTGAAAAAGCAAGTGTACCCCAGTGGGCAGATGTTCAGCCCAGTTTGTAGATAACCGTACTCAAAAATTAGAGCCATGGTTGCCTGAGGCTCAAGATGGAGGACATATAACCATGGTTGCTAACGGCTTTAAAACCTGCTTGCGAACACCAAGTCTTGGCAAAGAACAACCCCTTGGCGACCTAATTGGACATGTAGCTCATTACATATGGGCAGATTGCAAGGGGCTCACTTGGGGTTCCATTCCCTTGTGTGGATTCCATCCTTTTTCTTTTTCGCCTGGTTGCCCCAGGAGCTCACTTGGGGGTTCAAGGCAAAACGCATGATGAAGGCCGTACCTGGGTGGGGGGATTCCTTATGTCGAGTGCGGGAAGCATTAGTTTCTCCGAGAGAGAGCCCTTGCTTAGGTGCTTGCTTTGTTTCGCCTGTGAAAAGGGAGTGCTCGCGCGGTGGAGAGGCTCAGAAAAGTCCAGGGCTATTTGCGTGCGTGCTATTTGTTGCAGGGAGCGTTTTGTGTGGTGGTTGAACAAGTCAAAAGGGACTTTAAGGGCACTCTTGGGGTGGTGGTTCCCGAATCTAGATCGTATTTCGGATGATTTAACATCACCTTTTGGTTCTCTTCGAAGGGTGATGTGTAAAGAGGAAGTGTAGGGTACCCTGTCGATGGTTCCCAAATGTCAGACATATTCGACAGTCATGCCCCCTTTGAAACCAGCCGGCAAAAATCAGCAAGTCACCTTAAGCCTTAAGCGAGTTGAAAGAATGGTCCCGTTTGTGGGCCACAAAAGGGCTCAAACGCTTGTTGAATCTCTTGACCCTTAAAACATGCCCAAGAATTGTGGTGTCCGTCAGGTTCTTTCTCATGAAACCAGGGTATATTTTCCGACCTCCATGTGGGATAAGCCGCTTGCTGTGCGTTTGTTTGTTCATGTGGGCAAGCTGCTTTGGAGGTTGGCTGATACACTTTGTTGCTGTTGGACAGAAACAGAACCCCCTACTGACATACGAGCATTCAAACATTGGCCACTCACCCTTCAACCAGGGCCCCGCCAATCAGAACAACAACAGTGTCCCTGTTTTGTTGGTTATTTGGACCTTTGGGATGGCCACAAGTTCCCTGCCTGACTCCGGGGGCACACGGAATATGTGTCCCCTTTCGAAGTGGCTACCATCAAACTGCTGGGAGTGGTTTGGGGGTAGTGGAAACATGGGGAAACCATCTCAGACAGGTCTTGGGAAGGTAAGAAGACTCGGATGACTTAGCAAGTCTCCACCTCTTTGCACCTCAAAAGAAGATTCAAGGCAAGTTCACCCAAAACTGGCCACTGGATAGTTTCCCTCTGAGCAAACTGGCGAGCTTCTTCTTTCGGCTTTCAATCACCCGTCCAAAAGGGCACTAGTCGCTTTGTTTTGAAAGGGCCTCTCTTGCACTAGTCGCTTTCTTCTCAAAGGGACTCTCTTGCACTAGTCGCTTTGTTTTGAAAGGGCCTCTCTTGCACTAGTCGCTTTCTTCTCAAAGGGACTCTCTTGCACTAGTTGGTTTCTTCTCAAAGGCCTTGCTTGAAACTCCGACCTAAGTTTTACAGCCAATTTACTCTAAACTTCTTACAGGTGGTTCCATTGATTACACTGGTTTTGATTGGTTTGGGGATCTGAAGCCCTGGTTGCAACCAAAGCATCGGGCTCCAAACCGCCGGGCTCGGGGGAAGCTGATACGCCCGGAGTGAGGCGTGACCCCAAGACGGCCGGAGAGCGCGGGGTGGCGCTCCTCAGCAAGATCTTCGAAGAGGCGACTCCGCTCCTCTTAGCCGACGTCAGCGAAGAAGTGCAGGTTTATGTTGAACTTGGCTCCCAGCCATCCGGTTCCTGAGCTTTTTAGCCTTGTGTTTAAAGGTAGTTTCCGTATTTAAGCCACTAAAAGTGTTAAACTTTAGCGGGGGATCTGAGGGCAGCCCAGGTTGGGAAAAGGCCTTCTGTGTTGGTGAAAGGCTTTGGATGGCGGAGTTGGTGCTCTTGTTGCCTTGGTGAGGCTTTTATAGTTGTTTTGATCTGGGTTGTAAATGGTTCCCAGCAGGGATTCTGGATTGGGATTGGCTAACCCTTGATGTTGATGCTGTCATGGCCCTCCAAGGGGGGCTTTGGGGGGGGGGGGGCAAACCTATTTACCCCTCAAGAAGGCTTGTTAAGGGCTTCTCCTGGCTTTCCTTATCCAAGGATAGCGTCCACGTTTTGCCCCCGGTGGAGGCACAGACATGACGCTGTGGGGAAAATTCGCGAATGTTTAGCGGTCTCATCTCCCTCTGCCCCAGGCCGACACAGATGGTAGCGGTGGACTGGACAAGAACGAGTACTTGAAGGCCGGAACCTCAGAATCGGAGTGAATCCCAGGATATGTGGCAAAGCACGCGGATTCACCGCGAGAATCCATATCGTTTATGGAAAGAGCGTGTGTGTGTGTGTGCGTAAATCCCGGCGTCACGGGGGTGTCCCATTTCAGAGGAGGTCAACTACAGACAGACAGACAGACAGACAGACAGACAGACAGACAGACAGACAGACAGACAGACAGACAGACAGACAGACAGACAGACAGACAGACAGACAGACAGACAGACAGACAGACAGACAGACAGACAGACAGACAGACAGACAGACAGACAGACAGACAGACAGACAGACAGACACAGGCAGGCAGGCAGGCAGGCAGGCAGGCAGGCAGGCAGACACAGACGCAGACGCAGACGCAGACGCAGACACAGACACAGACACAGACACAGACACATGCAGACACACGCATACGCACACCCACATCCACACACACACACACAAACACCCACCCACACCCACACCCACACCCACACCCACACCCACACCCACACCCACCCGCACACGCACACGCGCACGCGCACGTGCACGCGCACGCGCGCGCGCACCCGCACACCTGCACACCCGCACACCCGCACACCCACACACACACACCCACGCACGCACGCACGCACGCACGCACGCACGCACGCACGCACGCACGCACGCACGCACGCACGCACGCACGCACGCACGCACGCACGCACGCACGCACGCACGCACACACACCCTACCAGTTGATCCACCCGGTTCTACTCACATCCGGGGTTGGGATTCGAGGCAGTCATACTAGATCAGAGCAACACGCTTGGTCAAAACACCAGCTTGATGGGTTGTCATTGGCCCCAACCTGGGCAAGTACGGAGGACGAGTTTACAGCATGGTGGGAGCAGCGCCACTTGCAAGGAGGCATCTTCATGGCGCTGAGGCAAAATCTGGCTAGGCGGCTGCAGGTGAAGATTTGAGCCACTCAATGGATGCGGACTTAGTGTCGGGGGTGCGGCCCTACTTTCAATACAGAAGATGGCGCAGAGTTGCTGGCAGCATGCGCCAGCGACATCCAAGGAGTCGCGAGCCAGCTGGAAAGGCCGGTGCCAGATGTTGAAGCACAAAGTTGACTCGAACGAAGAATTGTGGACGCCTTCTTGTGTGAATTGTGGACGCCTTCTTGCTGCTTGCTGGCGGCTGGCGACGACACGCACAAAGCAGACTGCGAGGGCAACGCACCTACTTTAGCCGCCTCAGCAGAAGCCGCTGCCTTAAAACAGGAGGAGCAATTGCTGGCAGGACTCCTCTGGATGTTGCCACGGGGTTGGGTCGCGCACGCATTGTGCCCTTCCTCAAAGGCGAGTGCTGCATCACCAAGAGACCAGGTGTTCTTTGGCGGTTGGAGGGTGCCAACACCATAGCCATTGCTTCAAATTGGCTCGCCTGTTTACTTGGTCACATCAGCAGGAAGCAGTTGACCAACGTGGCCAAAGGTTTCGGCCCGTCTCGGTTCTCACGGACCACGCAGAGTAAAACGGGTGACAATGAGACTCGACAGGTGTTTGAAACGTAAGAGGCAATGCCTGGGTCCCTGAAGCGGTCTCCCACTACGGATTATGGCATTATGGATTCGGAAATCGGGTCGCCCGATTTTGCACATCCTAGTGAAATTGCAGAACCCGTAAAAAATGAACGCAGTTAACCCGTTAAAAAAAAGAGAGATAATAAATACGTAATACATTTGTAAGAACCCGCAATCTAAAAACAGTGCCCGAAAACCAGGTTTTGGATTTGAGAATGAGGTTATTTGCCAGAACCTCCAGTTTTCCGGGTTGTTTGATGCACAAGGTGTGGTTGATTTTGTGGATTTGCTTGAGTTGGTTGAGTCGCTCGTACTTCGGGGGATTCACCCACCCAATCGCCGAGGAATTGTTGCCGTCCCGTCCCAGAAAGGTTCTCAGAACCTTGATCAGAAGAGCCACAATCAGCACAATGTTAATGTGTTGATTGCCATTGTATAAGCGGTGCGGATATTTGCCCTTTGACCTTTTACGTGGCTTTTATTGGGAAAGGAACAACTCCTTTCCCCTTCTGTGAAGGTTTCTTTCCCATCCCTGTGTTGGTACGGGTTTCCTCAATGAACATTTTACCCACAGGCCTGTTGTAGTCAAAGAAGCTTCCCCTCTCAACCCAGCTTGCCCACGGAGCTCCACCCAGCTAGTTGCCAGGTACCAGAGCTTCACCAAGACTGTTCAACAAAAATACTCCGTGCATCCCTACCCAAATGGCCATGGCTCAAAACCAATGGGATCATTTTTGGGATAGGTGCACCACCCATTTTAGCCTATTTTAGTGGTTGAATTGGGATGTTCACTGGGGGTACGGGGTTGTGACCCATGGCCAAATCGTAGATAACCCTTCATTCGCCATTTTCCTTTTGGTTTTTATTTTCCGGGAGGTTCCATTGGTTACTTACAGACCCATGGACTCACCAGACTTCCTCGGTTTCAAGCCACTGGAGCCAAAGAGGCATGGGCATCCCCAAAGATGGGCGGTGCATCGTACGGGAAAGCCCCCCCAAATCGCAAATGGGCGGTCCGTACCTTTGAAAAGGGGCACCTTCAGAAAGACACCAAACCCATATGACTGCCTGAACATTCACAACATGGACGAAATTCCCATGGAACATACACAAATGGACATAAGTTCCATGGAACACATGGACGAAGTGAAACGCTGCTTTTGGGGCTGCGCCCCTGGATAAACGTCGTGCGACGTCGAGGCCTTCTCTCAAGACCTGGTGACGCAGCAGCTCACCGCGCGGAACCTCAAGGCGTGGAAACGGAGCGTTCTCGGGAGAATTTTGCTGAAAGGGTTTCACCGGGAGAAACCTGCAGCAAGGAAATGTTGTTATTTTTGGGAAGGGGAATTAGTTAAAGGGTCCGGGAACTTGTTGAAAGGCTGTGTATGAGCGTTCCGACAGGACACTCCAGGCAGTCGGGGGCCTTCGAGTAGTTTCTTCATCTTGTGTACCAGTGTGTTTGCTTGTTCTGAAAAGTACCTTCTTTTTTTCTGGGCGGGGGGGGGGGATTCTTTGAACAGCCGTTCGGGCAATTTTGAGGATGTTCCCTTTCAACATCCCGACAGTCAGCTCAAATTTAGTTTGGCCCAAAGCTAAGGAGCCCAGACCGTGGCGCCGGTTCTGCTGTTCTCCCAAACAACAGACGGCTTGATGCGAGATGTTCGGCCCTGAAGCCGCACCTGAAGAGCTTCCAGGATTTTTGGAGTGGAGGTTCCGGGCACGTGGGAGTTTTTTTTTTTTTTTTTTTTTTTTTTTTTTCCGGT